GCCGTGTGACGTGCGTTTGGGCCCGATGACGCGCTGCGGGTGCCCGGTGACGCGCTGCGGGGTCCGCGGATGTATTACAGTGAAAAGGCAGAGAACTTACGAAGGGAAGGAGGTACAAAATAGTCCGATGTGTTTTCAAAATTTTCGTACCGAAAGTCAGGCTTTTAACTTTCTACTTTTTTTTCTTTTGGCCCACTGAACGATGTGCTATTAGTAAAATTCCAATGTAAATTGATTTACTCCAGCCCGAAATTCGTTTCATAGGCCCTTTGAGGAGGTGCCTTCAGAATAACAAGGGGGGTGTACAGCCCCCTAGGGGGTGTGTACGGAAATCACTGGTACGCTTTGAAACTAAGTGACTATGAGCACTTCAAAGTTGCTTCCACGGTGCATATGCTGTCGTTTTTCTCTCGCGCTTTTTTTAATATTTTGGTTGTTTTATTACTGAAAATAAAAGAGTGCAGATAAAAGAAGAAGAAAAAAAAAGACGGGAGGGAAGAAAAGAAAAATGCTATTGTAAGCAGTGATAGAGTGCAGGCGAGCTGGTAATTAATCAACATCTTGTAGACCCTGAAATGGGGAACGATAAAAAAAAATATGGATGACGACAACAAAATCTCAAACGCAGCTGAAATTTATTGATATGAGCACACCAATAAATAGACTTTCGAGCACATGGAGAAAGGGAAAGAACGAACTCAAACGGGCATAAACAAGACGATCCACGAGTTCGCTCCAGACAGCATAAGCTACCCCCCCCCCCTCCCCCCTCCAACACTTTCGAAGAGGAAGCCGACCACTTGAACAACGACAACCCCAAGGTCAACACACAAGGCGACCTCCAAACCGCTAAAGCCTAAGCTCCATTTTCTACTTCCAGCCATTTGCACTTGCGAGACCTTCGCTTACTAACACGGCTAAGCTTGGCGAGAGCTCTTCAGAGAGCCTATTTCTCACGCTGTCCACGGGCAGTGTCGTCACCTTCGTTTTGCTTGGGAATGTTGTGGGCCCGGCCCTTCGCCGTAGTTATCGAACAGAAAGAGAAACACGTGGGATTTTTAAATCCTTAACAAAACGAAAAGAAAAAAAGAACTGACATTGAAAAGGGGAAAGGGAGAAAGAGGAAAACCATGAAATTTCGGGGTGTGTTTTAACCCTTGAACCCTGGCTACGCCACTGGTAAGCGGCGCCAGCAGAGTAATAGCTCACGTTTGAACAATGCAGCCGCCACACCCAGGGCATACCCAATCTTTCTTGACTCAGTCGCTAGATGCTCCCGTCGCTCGGGTCGGCTCAAACCAGTCTTGGCCAGTAACTAGTTACTAGTAACGCGTTACCGGTAACTAGTTACTTATTTTCAGTAACTTTTACCCGTTACGTGTCACTCTTTAATGCTGGTAACTTGTAACTGTAACACTGTTACTTTTTTATTGGATGACTAACTGTTTAGGCCGTCAGTTACTTCTTTTTACTAAATAAATTGGACCCCGTTGCCGTGGACATGGTGAAATCGCCATCTTGAAGTATTTTTCTCAATACTCCTCGCTGACAAAAAAAAAAAAAAAAGACAAAGCGCGGCCACGCTTGAAACTAGCAGAAAATTGCCTGGTTTAGCCCACGACCGACAATGGACGGGGGACGTCTCAGCACGAAACCGGGAGGTGAAGGAGGCCGGCGGCCGCGGTGGTAGGGGCGGCAATTAATTTGTCTGTTTCACCGACTTCGGCTCACCCTTCTTATGGGGACCATCTGCGGGTGTTGGTGGTCCTGCGACATGTCTCCGAGTACTCCGTCTGAGATGTGACCCCCTCCCCCCCACCTCTCCCTTCCCCTTTGTCGGATATCTGTCCTGTCGTTTGTACACCCAGCCGCCTGCCGTTTCCTCTTCCCTCGAGGAATCAAGCCGTCCTCATACTTTGCAGAAAGTCGGCGCTTGCTTAACTTATTCATTCTCTTCGGGGCGGCTCGAGTAAACATGAAGACGGGTTCAAGTGGTATTGCCTTTTTCGTTGATAGCCTCAAGAAACACCCCAATGGAGGGACACTTCGTTGTGGAACCTATGCAGTGCTCGAGCTGAAGCGATTTTAGGGAAAACACGAGTCATAAGTGAGAGAAACAGCTCTTTTTGATGAGTTTTTCATAGCTGGAGTGCCGCGGTGGTCACCGCACACTCGTGGAGCACCAGACGGCCTTACTTTGCCTCCTTTCCCCCTATATTCTTGCGAAGCTGCTTGACTTCTTATGTTTAGGCCTGCTTCGGAGTATATCCCATAAGGCAATTATGCGACCATCTGTGTCCTCATTCGTTTTGAAGTGAAAAATAAACGAAAACGTTCACTGACGAGGGCCAATGACAATTTTGAAAAGCAATTGACTATAAGTGATAACAATTTTTGCAAATAAATTATGCACATAGAAATGTTGAAACGGCGAATGATGCAAAAAAGAAGCACCCTTCGGGCTTAATTTTCTATTTTCTCAGTTTACCTTTCTTCTCACTATAGTGTAACCAGGGATGGGCAAAATACATGCAAATATGTATCGAAATACAAATACAAAATACTTCGTCAAAAATGTATTTAATTGAAAATCTAATTACATTTCCAAAAAAGCATTTAAGTACAAGATACAAATACAACGAAATGTATTTGGTCTCATCCAAATACTTTTCCAAATACATTCCTCAAAATTTGCGTCAGCGACCTCAGGGCACCTGCAACGGGTTTCTGGGTATCTCATTTTAATTTTGCATCGCATACTCGGGAGTTAGTGTGCGAAGCTCTAGTAACGTAATATAAATATAATCACAAAAAAAATGTAATCAGCTTGGACGTAATAGGTGAAAAAAGTACAGAGCTTCAAGCAGCTTTTTTTGTCTATTACATTTTGGTATAGACCAACAAAGAACCGAGACGACCAAGACGCGCAGCACTAGCTAGAGAATTTTTTATTGTTGCAACTCGCACCAGTTACGAAAGTCTGGACGACCCGCGCATTTAGAATGTTCCAGGCAAAAATATGGATGGAAATCCGGCTGGAGAGCATCACATTAAGTTGTCACAGGCACTTATTTAGCCAGTCTGCCTGTGAACGTCGATTTCGTCACTATTCTTGCCGTGGGCTAGCGCCGTAATCACAAAGTCACTAAACGCTTGTGCTTGATTGAGAGACACCGCATTCGGTGCAGAACGTAGTTTTCTTCCTGCTCTGGACAGTGACAATAAATTTGAGGGATTTATTTTTGCACATGAAATTGTATTTAATTATAATTGTATTTGAAATACCCACGTTTTAGTATTTCAATACACACTTCAAATACATTACCCAATTTGTAATTAAATACAAATTCAAAATACACAAAGTATTTGAAATACTTTGTGTATTTCAAATACTTGTATTTGAAATACTGCCCATCCCTGAGTGTAACAAATGAAATATTATTTTGGATTGTGATTTCTTGTATCCATTGTTTTGTGCTGTAACGTCAAAGTAACGGCGTTATACTGTTTTGGAGCGACTGTAACTGTAACACCTTACTTTTCGAAGCCGGTAGCTGTAACAGAGTTACTTTTCCCCCTAGGTAACTGTAACTGTAACATTGTTACTTTTTACTGGTAACGTGCTCATGACTGCTTTGAACTAATGTTGCGGCAATATGCCACAAAGTAAAAGTGGTGGCGCCTTAGTAAATAAAGAACAATAGATCGGGACTCAATGGGGTCAGAATCTCGGATGTTGATCATCTGACAGAAACAAGAAGGTTATAATGGGCAGGAGGTGTCCCACAAAACGTACCCTCATTCTCTCGGCTATTCAGACTATCCTTTTCCTATGCTACAGTCTCTGGTAATTTCTGTTATTATTAGGAAACTCCGTTAGCGGACGTCGCCATGCAGTGGCGTAGCCAGGAATGGACCTTTTCCATATACCGACGGCACCGAGCGGTGGCTGCGCGAACTAAAAAATCGAGGAAGTGACCTGCGCTACCAATCAATAATGGGAGCTACGCTACCAGTTTCTTCGCTCTCTGAGGTGCGGCCACGCGAGCGGTACAAAGTACGCACCTAGGGACTTTCATACCTCGTGATCAGCTTCGTAGGGAAAACCAGGGGGAACCGGGGAACCCGCGAAAAACAAGCGAGCAAAGATGGCGACGGCGGCGGTCGGGTGTCGGGTGTGGAAGAGGTAGTCAGAAGCATAACGGTTCCAATGATGCCGCAGGATTGCGCATTCGGGAACTGCAAGAACGTCGCGAAACGCGGCAGCGGATGCCGTTTTTTTTGCTTCCCATCCGAACGGCTCCAACGCAAGAGGAGGAAGCTCTGGATCGCTGCCGTCACTGCTGTGAATCGAACAAATGAAGACTGTACTCCATGGCTGCCGCACTGGAACTCTCGAGTCTGCAGTGCGCACTTCATAACAGGTAAGTTGGAACGTTTATTCGAGAGGGAGCATCTCTCATGGGCAGGGCGTGTAAGGGCTCGATAACTGCAGCGGCTGTTGCGCTGACAGCAGGCTGGACGCTCGGCGTCGTGCCCTTCTCGTCGCAGCGCTTAAAAGTGCCTATACCTATTACCTACGGGTCTACCGGGTGCAGCTGCTTCACCGATGGGTGCGTGCAGATCATCGTGCACTCTACGGTACGCGGCCTCAGCAATGCACGCGCCATACCCATGTGTTCGCGACGAGTACGGCGCACGACCCGTCAGCTCGCGCCGACCACCGCATCAAACTGATTCAGTGAACCGCCATGAGCATTGTTTGAGCGCGACATATAATTCGTGGTTAAAAGAAATGGATCGTGACTATGCCGTCGCAAAATCTTGCTTGCAGTCACGCCAGATTAACGAACGGGGTGTTTAGGTAACGTGGTCAATGCAGTGATGTTTTTTTCTACGTTGACAATATAAATTGGGATGTGCTGCATCAACTCGCAAATGGCAACAGCATACCAAATGCAAACGTGGCTACCATCCAGGTGAGCCATCTCGCTGCGTCACCCATCCGGACTATGTGCCGAGCATCCTGAATATCCCCGTCGCTGGTGCCCGAGATCATGGTACGTGAAATGTTTTTCTTGATATTGACAGGTTGCACTGACGTAATTCGGTCCTCCTCTCTGTTTGTAAAACTGCCTCAGGCGTAGCCTTTACGTATTCCTTGCTGGTTCTGCAACCAGCAAGGAATACGGATATGACGTCAGGTGTAAGCCATGTACACTTGGCAACAACATTTTTTTGGAATATTAAAAGGCACAGCGGGACATCCTTGGTTAGCATCGTAGCGGAGGAAGCTCACGGGTGCCTGTAGTTTGGACTGCATTGCCAAGAAGAGCTGTCCCCGAGTATACCTAATCCAGGGGGGTGCCCCTCCCTCTAAAGTGTTGAATTTTTCTGGAGCCTCCTCTCCCTTCAGCCATCTATGACCTTTTGTCATGCCCCCCCTCCCCCTGTCCCACCCCCTCCCAAACAAATTCCTGGCTATGTGCCTGCCTACTATTGTGGTATCCCAATCTTATAATGTGATGTTTCCCACAGGTTTAACTGCAACCCAACCTCTGCAGCTGCATGACAATGGAGCCCAATGTTTGGCTTAGATAGATGACATTTGCAATTTGTTACATTACCTTTGGGATCCTACAAGAATGCAAGACCGTCCACATTAGTCTCTCCCTTATCTCTCCCAGGTCCAAGTGGCGTGCCAGCCCTCCAGGACTGCGACCACTCGCACTCTTCTTCTCCAGAGACCGACTGGTCACGGGATGAAGAAATGCATGCGGCGGCAGGTCTGTTCGTTGTTACTGCACGTCCCTTACCCCATTTTGACAAGGGATCTCTGCTTCTCTCATGCCGCACAGCGTGTAGACCCTTTCCGGAATTCAGTGCCATCTGGTGACTCAAATGGCAGTTTAACTTTTACCATACTAATGGCGGAAATGAACCTGTGTTTTGCAGTATTTTATGGTGCACCGTCACTTTTGTAAGTCAACGGTAAACGAGAATGTGTGCTGCACGGTATAGTTCTTTTTCAATCTCTTTCAATGTTGATGGCGAAAAAAATGCAACGAGTCGGAATGAAGCATTAACCGACAGACTCCTTGATGAAGCTCTATACATCTTCAAAAGTGGAAACAGTGCAAAAAAAAAATAACAAAGGAAGAGTAAAAGAAGGGCACCGACACAGCGCTGTGTCCGTGCACTTCTTTTACCTTTGTTAATGTTTTTGTGCTGCCTCCACTTTTTAAGATGATGAACCAACTCGCCCAACTTACCACCTTCTATACATCAAGGGGCTTTGAAGCCGAGTGTTTGCTACTAAGATATTTACTGAGCCCGAGTTAGAAATGAACACTTACGCAGATCTTGCATCCAAATCCTACTTTACGTCGCACTAACGTCTAGAATGTATTGGCCTCGAATCATCTGCTTAGGAGCATCTTCAACTTCTTCCTTCATCAGTAAACAGAAGGCTGCCATTATAGTATAGCACATATGCCATTTTTGAGATGATGATAATGATCAAAGTGGCCGGACCGAATTCTGAAAAGGGTCTATTGAGAATGTGCTACAACTTTTACCCCTGTGGTGTCTGAGAGCACCATTCGTTCGTCTGTGATCTCTTCCAGGACCCAGTGGCATGCCAGCAGTCCAGGATTGTGACCCCTTGCACTTCCCATCTCGCGAGACCAACTAGTCACGGGAAGAAGAAAGGCATGCAGCGACAGGTCTGTTAGTTGCTACTGCACGTTCCTTGCCTCATTTCGACTAGTGATCTCTGCTCCTCTTTTGCCGCACAAGGCATTGAGAGTGTGCTACAGCTTTTACATTTGGGGTGTCTGAGAGTATTATTGGTACGTTCGTTATCTCTCCCAGGTCCAGGTGGCGTGCCAGTCCTCCAGAACTGCGACTACTCGCACTCCCTTTCTCCAGAGACCGACTGGTCACAGGATGCAGAAAGGCATGCAGCGGCAGGTCTGTTTGTTGCCAGTGCTGGGCAGGGATACCCCAAAAAGTATTCGGGAATACAAAGGCTGAGATAAATGTGTTTTAAGACCAAAACACAGATACTGAGATACATTTGTCTTTATGCAACGGGATATCCCTGAGATACTTCAGCAATAACGGCGGAAAGGCATTCCAGAATACAGATACTCATAGAAATACATTTGTTCCCGAACGGTGCAACGTTTTGAGGGTGCAGTTCGTGGCGAACGCGAAAGGTAATTTATGCTTATGCTCTTTTTTTTTGTGCCATTTTATGCACTGCCCACTACCTCGAACTCCTTGACTATCATTAATTCCGTTAAAGAACATGTCACCCCTGTTGAGTTACATAGTTACAGAACGGTAAAGACTGCGTACCATGCTTGACAAAAGGCATCCGCCTGATATGAGCCCTATTTTGCCGTGAGGGCACATCTCAAACTGTCACATTATAAGCTTCTGAGTCACCCATAGTGTTGGGAGATTGGACAACAGGGCCATACTTTTTCTCCACTCAACTCCTGTACAGCGTTCGCTCTGCTAAATTGGAAAGAGTGGAGGACTTTGTGAGAGGAGCTGATTTTGTTATTCTTGCAAATAACATTCTTTAAACCACAATATCTTTTTTATTGTTGGTGACTAAGATGCATCATGTTATAGGGCAGGTTCATATTGTAAATTCCGAAGCAAGTTGCACCAAACAGATGTTCTTATCTTTTAAATTAAAAAGGGCAACAAATGTAACGAGATGCCTAAGTCACGCAAAGTATCGCGATACAAGCGATACGTTCCCCGCAGGGGGCACCTGTGAAAGCAGGTGTCTGGAGAGTGGCGTCTCCACGGACCCCGAGCCCCGCAGGGGGTGCCTGCACCTTAGGTGCTAGGTGCTTGGTGAGTAGCGTCACCACGGACCCCAGCCACATTGGCGACACCACAGACCCTGAGTAAAAAGTGGCTAAAACCCACCCACGTCTGGCTGTGCGTGGCGAGCCCGTGTCCGGGGAAAAGGGCATCCTGGTGGTTGAGCCGAGCCCGGGGTAGGTTTGGACCCTTCGGGCCCCCCGGGTGAGGCAATACACCACTTCGGCCCCCGCTTCTCGTAGACGGGAGTCCTGGCAAGGCCCGGCCAGGATGATTCAGTCTAGTCGCCTTTTCTTCTACTATCCCCTCCAATCTTTCACCTTTACCTTTCCTGTTTCTTTTACTTCTCTCTCATTTCTCTTACTCCTTTTTCACCCCTCTTTGGCGGCAAGGGCTAACCTTGGGTGGCAATAGACCTCTGTCTTGACCCACACTTGGGTATAGTTTCCCGGCAGCACTGTTAGTGTAACGTCTCCAGCCAAGCTCATCTTGTCATGGTGCGTTACCTAACCCCTTGTTGGGCTCGGTGGTGGGCGGTGCACCGCGGATTCCGAACATTCTTTGCCCTTCTATGGCGCCCCACCCCTCTAAACCCCGTTCAGGGCACGCCCTTAAAAGGCGTTGCCTTGAACACAAAACCATTGACGAAGATCCCGAGGTAGAATCCTTCACAAAGTTTTTTGTTGTTCACTCTCTTGATGAACAGAAGACAGTTGCGAAGATGCCACCTTTCATTGTAGCCAAAGTTCTAGAGCACCTTGTAGGGTTTTCCTACAAGGCCAAAAAACTGTACTCTGGAGACCTCCTTGTGGAGGTAAACACAAAAAAACAAAGCGAAGCACTCCTCAACTTGACTACCATTGTTGACGTAAAGGTGTCGGTGAGTCCTCATCGCACACTTAACACCATTCGTGGAGACCTCTCCGAGGATGACTTTTTGTACACAAGTGAAGAGGAACTCCTCGAGGGACTCAAAAGTTCAGGCGTTGTCGCTGTTAAACGCATCATGTTTCGGAAAAATGGTGAACAGGTTCCTTCGAAACATGTTATCCTGACCTTTGAAAAGCACACACTCCCAAAGACCGTCAAGGCAGGATACCTGAACTGCCGCATTCGCCCTTACGTCCCCAACCCCCAGCGGTGCTTCCGTTGCCAACGTTTTGGTCACATCGCACGCAGCTGCCGAGGGAAGGAGACGTGTGCAAAGTGCGGCAGTCAGGGCCATGTTTCTGACATTTGTGAGGAGGCTGTGGCCCACTGTGTTAATTGCGGTGGACCACACCCCGCTTACTATCGTACATGTCCCTCGTGGAAGCAAGAAAAAGACGTCCTTACCATTAAAGTGAAGGAGAACGTATCGTATTCAGAAGCAAAAAAGCGATTCTCCTTTGTGTCAAGGGGGAGTTTTGCCGACGTAGTGCGCAGGGGCCCAGCACCACGTTCGGAGTCGAGGGCCACCCAGGTCTCTCCCGAGATCTTGGCGGCCGACCTCAGGGCCCCAGCTCCCCAACAGGGGCAGCGGCAGCTTTCCCCAGTCCCTGGTGGTAGCACGCGTGCTGCCCCTCCATCCAGGGACAGGCCGGCAACAGCCGCGCCTTCTCCCTTTCCTAGGTCCCCTCCTAGGGAGAAGGAGCGAATTTCTCGCTCTTGCTCGCTGGAGAGGGCCCCCCTACCAAAGGAGCAGCATGGAGCCCATGCAGCTCCAGTGAAAGGAGGGGACAAGACGAGCTCGGGTGACCCCTTGCCCAGTTCGTCCACCACTCGTCCAGCCGGCCGTGGTCGGGGCTTGCCCCCCCGTGGGCCGGGCCGAACAAGCTTCATATCTACTCCAATGGACACTTCTCAGGAGGGAGAGATGCCAACAGATGTTGACACTCTGTCCACTCCTGGTTCTGACCAGGATGGCATGGAATGGGAGACACCCTCCCGCAGATCCAAAAAGAAACAGCCTGTAGTACCACCCAAATGATGACCCCGTCAGTAGCCGTATTGTGGCCATATCTTAATTTTTGTTGGCTCTCCATGGTTTTAATTATTTACTATGTTTCACTCATTATATATTTACATATTTACACACCTTTTAATAGATGACGAAGTTATATTTTATGCAGTGGAATTGTCGCGGTATTTTAAGAAACATTGATGATGTTAACTATTTTATGGATGAGTTTCGGCCCATCGCTCTTGCTTTGCAAGAAACCCACCTTCAATCCACTTCTTTTAACATTTTAAGACATCATCAAGTTTTTAGGAAAGACCGTCCTGCTTCCCCTCCTTCTGGTGGTGTTGCAGTGGTTGTGCAGAGTGGAGTCGCTTGCTCTCAAGTTCCACTCTGCACGCCTCTGGAAGCTGTTGCAGTGCGTCTCCTCGTGGACCGCCTTGTAACAGTTGTCTCTTTATACTTGCCACCAAATGTTCCTTTGAACCTTCAAGAGCTGCAGGGACTTGTAGGACAGCTTCCTCAACCTTTTTTAATTTTAGGCGATTTTAACGCTCATCATCCCATGTGGGGTAGTTCCCGTCAGGACTCCCGTGGTGGTGTAATTGAACGTCTTTTATTGTCTTCTGGGCTGTGCCTTCTTTACGGGAGAGATCCAACTTTTTTAGTGCGGCACACAACTCATTCACATCCATTGACCTTTCTATCGCTTCACCTTCATTACTTCCTTGCTTTTCCTGGAAGGTTCTTCATAACCCCTTTGGAAGTGATCACTATCCAGTTATTTTAGAAAGCACCATTCCATTGCCTAATCTTTTAAAGAGGGTCCCTAGGTGGAAGTTAGACAAGGCTGACTGGACGCTTTTTAATCTTCACTCCGCTTTAGATCCTTCGATTCTTTCTTCTATGTCCCCTGAAAACGCTACTCTTTATGTTACAGAGCAGATACTAAGGGCTGCTCAGCAGTCCATTCCCCAAACATCTGGTAATATACCCAAAAAATGCAAACCGTGGTGGAATGAGGAGTGCGCCAAAACCCGAACGGACCAGAATAGGGCGTGGGGCCGATTTCGCAGATACCCCACTTCATGCAACCTTGTTGAGTTCAAGCGACGAAAAGCTAAGGCTCGTTGGACTAGGAAGCAAGCAAAGCGGAAGTCATGGATGAAGTATCTCTCCTCTCTAACTAGTTTTGTCCCGGCCAAAGAGGCCTGGGACAGATATCGGAAAATAAATGGAGATTATAGGTGCTTTGCTATCCCAACGTTTAATGCTCCTTCTTCATCACTAAGAGACATTGGTAATATACTCGGGGAACATTTTTATGATGCATCTAGTTCGGCCAACTACAGTGTTACTTTTGTACGGTTGAAAGCTTATGCGGAGCGACAAAAACTTGTAATGTCGGGAGGAAATTCAGCATCTTATAAACAACCTTTTACGCGATGCGAGCTTGAGATGGCCCTTAATGTAACTAAACTCTCTGCCCCTGGGCCCGATAATATTCACTATGAAATGCTTCGCCACCTTTCTTCAGAATCCCTTGAAAACCTTCTCCTCTTTTTCAATATTTTGTGGAAAAAAGCATGCTTCCCTCAGGCTTGGAAACATGCACATATCATCCCCCTTCTAAAACCCAATAAAGACCCCTCACAACCATCAAGTTATCGCCCAATTGCCCTGACGAGCTGCCTCGGGAAAACGTTTGAAAGGCTTATAAACAGGCGACTGGTATACATGTTAGAAAGCCAGAGGGTCCTTGATAATAATCAGTGTGGATTCCGCCAAGGTCGATCTAGCCTTGACCACTTAGTGCGCCTGGAAACTGTGATACGCGAAGCATTTGTAAACAGGCAGCACTGTGTTGTAGTTTTTTTCGA